GTTTCACCATGTTGACCAGGATGGTCTTGATCTCTTGACCTCGTGATCCACCCGCCTCGGCCTCCCACAGTGCTGGGATTATAGGCTTGAGCCACGGCGCCCGGCCCACAGCAAGTTTTTTAAAAACCCTAATAAGCTAATATATTGTATGTGTATGTATGTGTATATACTTGGTAACTATAATGAATATAATTAGCCCTTCAACAAACCATGCTATAGTCTGTCTTATAGGTGCTAAAAAGCATGCTGCATTAATGAACTCTATTAAAATAATTAGGGGACATATCACTTCAATATTATAATACTGAGAGCTGCATGCACACGAGCACACGCAAACACACATGCCACTCTTCTTATATAGCTTGACCTCTAGTTCCTATACCGTCAAAATACAGAGTTAAAAACAAAAATCTTAAGATTGCTGGCTCAGATTTCAATTTCCCTTTCCCAAGTAACAACACTGAGGGCAATAATTCTTTAATTCATAAAAAATGCACACGTAAGACATAATCTCAAACTAAGTATCAAAAATAGTTTAAAGAGCAATATTTTATGACTAAAGGTAGCAATGTAAGATTAAAGATTCAAGAACTGCGATTTTCTTAATGCGAATATACTTGACGGATATACAGATAACAGCGGAAATTGCAGATAAAGAAATTATCTTCTTATTCTGGGCACTAAAGGAAAAAGAAAAAAACAAAAACCCAGTCCCTATTTTCATGAAGCTTACAATTTAGTTCACAAATGAAGATACATTAAAAATGTCATGGTATCATATCAAATGGCCAGTAGAGACAATAATTGGTCTGAGAATTTAGGATAAGAAGAGATGACCATATACTGCAAGATTTAGGAAAGGCAAAAAAGGGGAAGAGGAAGAGTAAGAGATTTGAATATGTAAAGATGCGTATTATTTAGTGATTCCTAATTCCCAGCCAGAATATGGCATGTTTGCCAGCAAACAAATTGAAAAGACAACATACACATACATAAAGTTTTTCCAACAATTAATATTTATGGTGTAATTCTTTTATTTTGAATACTATTGACTGATAGTAAATTGTAAAAAAAAAAAAAAAAAAAAAAAAAAAAAAAAAAAAAAAAAAAAAAAAAAAAAAAAAAAAAAAAAAAAAAGATGAGAGAAACAAGAAACCAAAAGATTGATAAAGACTTTATGATTAATTGATTAGATGTTCACAGGGTGGAGAAATGTAACTTAGTATTTAAGACTGATTAAATAGAAAAGAAATGGTGATCTTTTGGCAAAAGTGAAAGGAGAAGGAGTTGGTTTGGGGAAGAACACGGTGAATATGGTTTGAAATATGCTGACTTTGACACGATGTTAGGACATTAAAATGGGAAATGTTAAGTAACGAATAGGAGATGTGGTCCTGGAGTTTAAGATACCTTTAAGTATTGAAATCTAGATTTGGAATTCATCCATATGAAAGAGAGGCTGTAAAAACACAGGACACCTACAAGGGAGATGTAAAAATAAGCCTAAGGAATCACTAATCTTGTGGATTGAGAGAGATAAGAAATGTCAGTGATTGAGACAGAGAAGGCAGTTTCAGAGTGCATCTACAAACTGTTTTATGAAGGAAAAATTCATGAGAAGAGATCAGCAACAATGCCAAACAGGGACAGACATAAGAGTGAAAGGGAATACTTAACAGATAGTAGAAAACATGCTCTTTTTGTAGCTGTTGTGAAATTAAAGCCATCTCAGATTTATAGATGAATTTGCCTAACAGCTGGGAGAAATAAACAGTTCTTCCCAAAACTAATGTTTTAACATTCCATTCCTACAAAGTCAAAGTAGGAAACCAACGTGCCCAGATACAGATGTCCCAGTCCCATCATCTGCCATTTTTCCTCTAATAAAAATAGGTTCCTCTGAGACAGTCTTGTGTAATTAAAAAACCCCAGCATGAATCTAGGGTCTAATCCCTGCTCTCATACTAATTACTTGTGATTTTGAACCCACTTTCTAAATCTGTGAAGTGGCAGAATTTACAAGGTTAACTAGGTGACCTCCCCGGTCCCTTCCAGTGGTAACATTCTATAGTTCTGTGATAACACAGTCAATGACTGGTGCTAGCATAACACAATACCACATCACAATTTTACTTTCATATACACGTGCCAAATGACAAGCAAAGTCCATCTTCAACAAAAAGACCTGAATGCAGAGGTTAAGTAGCAGAAAGCCTCAGAAATACCAGGGTCATCAAATCCCAAAGTTTCTTACTGACAACTGAGGTCTTCATTTGGAGCTTTAGAAATTTCTAAAATATAATTTATTCGTAAAATTTTTCTTACGATAAACAGATTAGAGGCAACGCATTACAAGGCAGTGAAAGAGAGTAAGAAAAGTCTACTAAAGGACTCAGAATTGTATTATTACAGATGGAAAATAATATGTCTCAAATGATTATCTTGAACTCAAAACCAAGTTAAATTGTGATAAGTATCCTTTAATTAGTCAGGAAAAGTGTATTGTATATTTGGAAAAATTTATCCAAAAAGATTAAATTAAAAGCATTGTGACGTTTCGTAATGTTTTACAATGTAAAATTAGCTAACTGGAAAAAAAACGACTGAAATACTGCTCACTGAAATACTGATGATGAAATACTGCTCATTGAAGCTGAAAACTACAGCATGCCTACAATAGTTAATTCTACATATGGTTCATTATACATTAATTTTATATAACTAGAATTTAAATGTAAAATCCTATACTAAAAAGACATCTATACTACTGTATTAAACTATCTTAGGTCAGAAGGAAAATACTTTCTAGTATACATTTTTTTTAATCTATGCTAAAAGAAATTTTCATATATAAACCTGAAAGCAAGAGACAGGCACCCCCTGTTTCCCAGTTCCAGACCTCCTTTACAGTCACCGTATGAAGCCTCATACTCCACAACACTAATAGGATTAATGCTAGCTCCAAAAGCAAATGGAGTTTAGTTAGTTCATTTCATCCATTTATCAAATAGCTACTTTGGTCAGGCAAAAAAGATACAAAAATAATAAAATCCAGTTTCTGCTCCTGTAGAAGAGAAACACAGAAGTTTGGACCTTCAAGCTTCACGTAGAAACAACCCAAATGAGGCTCTTTTACAAGCCTGGGGAGGGATTAGGAAATCCTCACCCAAAAATAGGTAGCTTTCCAGTCAACTCTTATTGTATGTTAATAATGAGTTAATCAAATATTTTTTAAAAATTTTGTTTCTTAACCTTCTAAGCATAATATGAGTAATCGAATATTTTTATAGAAGGAAACATCTTACTATTACTTTGTTTCATACAAGCATACTTTGCTTAAAGGAAAAATGAAGCCATATAACTAAAATTTAATGTGATTATATGGCAAATTTACTTACAATCAAATATTCTATGTAAAAAATAATAGAACAAAACTTAAAATTAAAACAGGGTAACTTCAAAAAAAGTCATAAAACTGGAACCTTTCGAGCAGAAAGGTACCTAACAGATCTTCTAACCCAGGGTTTCTCAACTGCAGCATTACTGACATTTGGAGCCAGGCACTTCTTTGTTGTAGAGGACTGTCCCATGCATTGCAGCATGTTTAGCAGCATCCCTGGTCTCTACCCATTATATGAAAGTAGCACACCCCACAGCTGGGATGACAGAAATAAATGTCTCTAAACATTGTGAAATGTCCTTGGCAGGGGCGGCAAAACAGCCTGCCCCTGAGGACCACTGATCTAATACAATTATCTAATATGTTAAACAAAAATTGAGGCTTTTAGAGGTTTAACTAAACCATCCACAATTCCAAAAACAGTAGCTGAATCAGAACTTGAATCCAAGTCTCTTGGCTCCTAGTACACTGATATTTTCACAATGTCATGAAAGCTAAAAGTGATTAGGAATCAAAATACAATCTGATGATAGTCTAAAACTATAATCTATCAGATATTTATGCATGAGGTATAGTTCAGATCACTAAGCATAATCCAGACATTCAATGTATAAACAGTATGCAGGAAAGTTTATAAACTTACAGAAAACTATTTTCATTATACAACACTTCTCCATTCCAACAAATCTAATACTGTATTTACTCACTGTAAGATTTCAAGTATAACTGTAATTTGAGATTTATTCTGTCAATTCTAACGTAAATATCATTAATCAAAATTATAAATTATAAAGCTTCCGTTGACTACCAGTAGTCATCAGGCAGATGAGAAATTAATCCTCTGATAAAGCAGACATATAGAAAAAATATTAGAAGTCTGAAGGAAAGGCATTTAAATAGTTCATTTAAAATTACTACTGGATCCGGGCGCGGTGGCACACACCTGTAATCCCAGCACTTTGGGGCCTGAGGCGGGTGGATCATGAGGTCAGGAGTTCAAGACCAGCCTGGCCAATATGGTAAAACCCCGTCTCTACTAAAAATACAAAAAATTAACTTGGCGTGGTAGCGTGCATCTGCAGTCCCAGCGGCTTGGGAGGCTGAGGCAGGAGAATTGCTTGAACCCAGTAGGCGGAGGTTGCAGTGAGGCAAGGCTGCATAACTGTACTCCAGCCTGGGCAACAGAGCAAGACTCCATCTCAAAAACAAAAACAAAAACAAAAACAAAAAACAAAAAGTAAAAATAAAAATTACTATTGGATAAGACTTTTTAAAAAAACTAGCAATAATTCAAATCAAATAAAAATCCAATACCAAAATAAGAAATCTCCTGCTAGACCAGATTATGCTATGAAAAAACTACCACATTTGGAAACTTAATTTTATTGTTTAACTTCGAAGAATCTTGGTAATAATGTATTTAGAAGAGAAAACATACTGATCAGGTTAGATATGTAAACTAACATTTTAGATTTTAATTCAAATCTCTTAGCTGGAATAGATAAAAGCAAACATAATGTCTGTTAAGTCTCACCTTCCGAGGAAATACCAGGACTGGCCAGAATTAGGATCTGCTTCCAAGGACTTCTGGAGATACTGAATAGCATAGCTTTCCTTGGTGGCTTTATCTCCCAGAAGATCTACAGTGTGATGCATCCAACCTATAATAAATAATTTAAAAATATTTACATAAGTGATTTAATTGTTCTTCTATGTTTAAGAATACCAAGCAGAAAACAAACAAAAAAAGTACTCTTTTCCGTCAATATATTAATTTAATTTGGAGTACACATTTCCACAACTTAGAACTGCCAATTCTGGCTGTAAGAAAGTCAGTTTCTCACAGTAAGGTCCTGTAAAAGCTTCGAAGAGCTTTCAAGACAAATTAAAACAATTTTTAGTACTGATTTAACAGATTATAAATCATAGACTTTTCTGATTTTGATATTTAAAAACATCCAAGTTATGAAACAAAGAATATAAAGATGTTAAGTCTTATTTACTATTCCATGTAAAAATAAATTAATGTGCTTATGTGCCTTGTTTTTTTTTTTTTTTTTTTAGACGGAGTCCTGCTCTTTCACCAGGCTGGAGTGCAGTGGTACAATCTCAGCTCACTGCAACCTCTGCCTCTCAGGTTCAAGTAATTCTCCTGCCTCAGCCTCCTGAGTAGCTGTGACTACAGGCACATGTCACCACACCCAGCTAATTTTTGCATTTTTAGTAGAGACGGGGTTTCAGCAATTTGGCCAGAATGGTCTCGATCTCTTGACCTTATGATCTGCCCAACTCAGCCTCCCAAAGTGCTGGGATTACAGGCATGAGCTACCGCACCCAGCCAATTACAAATCTCTAAGACATTCCATTAACAAAATGTTTATTTCCAAGAAATAAATATAAGGCTATAGAATCAACAATAGTTCAGATTAAAAAACATACGAACACTCCTACCTCACTGGCACTGGCTACATATATTCACACTCTATAAGATAAAAACTATAGGCCAAGCACAGTGGCTCACACCTGTAATCCCAGAATTTTGGGAGGCTGAGGCAGAAGGATCGCTTGATGCCAGGAGTTTGAGACCAGCCTGGGTAACATAGAGAGAGATCTTGTCTCTACAAAAGAAATTTTTTTAAATTAGCCAGGTGTGATGGCATGTGCCTATAGCCCTAGCTACTCAGGAGGCTGAGGTAGGAGGATCACCTGAGCCCAGGAGTTTGAGGGTGCAGTGAGCTATGATCACACCACTGTATTCCAGACAGGGGGATAGAGCGAGACTCTGTCTAAAATAAATAAGCAAACAAACTAACCAACTATAAAGTATTTGACGATTGAAAAAAACAAACACTGCCTTCATAATAAAACCTTAGTTTTGTTTCTAATTTTATCCATTAGGATTTTACTTGAGTTGCCTACAGTTTTAAGAATTTTAAGAGTGTCAAAATATTTGCTTTTATTCAGTGATTTATAATTATTTTTATGTATATTATCTAAAGATAAATGATAAAATCTAAGTTTAAGTGACTAAAACTATATAAAAATAGTACACTATAAAATCTTCACATTACTACAATGTTGGCTAAAAATTAAGAATAAATGACTTTCCCAGACCAAAAACAAACTGTAAAAACAACCCAATTATCAAATTCAAACAAGAAACATGACTTAAGCAACAAAATTAAACGCTGGGGAGTTCCTTCACAACCTTTTTGGTGATAGTTACACCTGATATCCAAATGAATAGATTCCCTCACGTTACACATTAGAATAGAAGTGCATACTTAGTGTCAGACGTTCTACAGTTTATAGATAAACTGTTTTATAGTCATAACTGATAAAGCTATGAAAGCAAGGTCACCAACCATTAAGTGACATTAGGTAAATCACAACTTCATTAAGTGCTTAAGCACATATCTGGCACAAAGGAAGTATTCGATCTTCCTTGGGTTGAAAACTGGGGAGTAATTTTGATAATTTAAATGGACCGGCTGTACTAAAGAATTATACTGAGACAGAATGTGGGAAGAACAATGCTGGGCAGAAGACAGAAATATGCTGGATTCAGAATAATTTTATGAACTCTGAGCAAGGGAAGGAAAAGGAATAGAATAGATAAGTTCCATATTTGCCATACCTAACATGTAAAAAACATAAAGAAAAGCACTTATAATACACTAAATGTATCTATTACATACCTAACTGTTGTAAAACAGTTGCTTTTACTTGTGCGGAAAGGTTTTCTGTCTGCAAAAGTTGTTCATAAGCTTCCTTTGCAGAATGATATTTCCTCTAAAGAGCAGAAAAAGAGATTTAGAGAAAAATTAACATAATATTTAAAGAACTACTTCATTATATTAAGAATTATACAATACTGATGTTTTAGCATATTTTGAAAAACTGAAAGTGCTGATTCCATTACTGAATGTTTCTTTAACACTAGACAGTTGAGTAACAAGCCTTGTTCCAGAGTACCTAATACCAGTAAAACTGACATTCATTATAATGAAGTATCATTAAAATAGGACCTTTTAAGAATTTTCCAAATGCCAATAACATCATCTCAAATTTAATAACATAAGTGGTCTCAACTTGATTTAATAACATTAATGGATCAAGAGAAGTATTCTACCTCCAAGTGCATAATCTGTCTGCCCAGAAACACCAAGCTCCCAAGCAACTCAATAAATAGAGCACATGTCAAAATTGCTGTAGACAAAATCTAAAGTGCTAAAGTAGTTAAAAATTTAAGTTTTAAAGATACAGTTTCTGGTATATATAAAATATCCTATGAAAATATTTATAGCACACATGATTTTGAAGACATAAAAACTCTCATAGTTACAGCTTAACAATGTTTGTAAGACAGGATTTCACAGGCAAATGTCTAAATGAAACCACATAGCCACAATTCTCAAGAGTACTAATATGACTGAAACTAGTTATAAGGTTATAACTATAGTTATAAACCTTAAGACAACTCCTCCAAAACAAAAGGAAAAACCTGACAAAAGAAAGTCTCATAAATATTATCTTTAAAACATACTTGGCAGAACAATGGATTGAAGTGGCTTTTATTCATATCATTACCAGTACATAACTGCCTGAGCAAACATATATTTCCCAAAACAAGTAGGCAGAAATACAAAACTAGTTGTATAAACCACAGGCAAGTCATTGATTCAACATCAATAAACAACTGATGCAATAAAACAAGAGTTAATGTCCAATCTTGCTACCTACTGGGTTGTCCTAATGATGGAAATAAAGAGCTACACACACACACACATACACACACACACACACACACACACATACACACATACACACACATACAATGCTAACATAAGGAAGATTTTAGAGAACTGTCCATTGAGATGATCAGGAGTTATTAAATTAACTTTCACTTATTAGCTAAACTAGTTCCCCCAAAACACTCATCTAGTCTAAAAAGTCAACTAAATAGTTAGGCCAAGGATAAGGGCCAAGTTATTCAATTCCTTCAACTGATAAATATTTGTTGAACACCTAATACATAACAGGAACTGCTAAGACTACACAGTAGTGAAAAACACATACACAAAAAACAAATTAAGTATATTGTGCTATGTATGATAACATTATAATACATCTCAGAGAAAGACTGATTGCATATTTAGAGTACTAGCAGGCTGGACAGAAAATGCTAAGATGACTACTACACAAAGACCTTCCTAATCCATTTAAAGACAACTGACTGTATCCTAAAACAATAGAGAACCATTGAATGATTTCAAGTAAGGTGATCAGATTTAAGTTTTAGAAAAACCACTTTCATAAATTATCTTAACAAATGTTAAAATATACTCCCAGCACTGTAATAAAAACAAATGACATACTTGAAAAAATGGCAGCATATTTGGAAATATAAAGTTAGATTTCTACCTCATACCATATACAACAAAACCAGCAACTGCACTAAAGACCTGAATACGAAATGTAAAAGTATAAAATGAAGAGAATAAAACGTAGGAGAACATTTCCTTGAGATGGGAGAGTATTTATTAGACACAACCCAAAAAACCACAAATCATAAGGAAGAGTAAAGATCTGACTCAAAAAGCATAGGCAGAAAAACAGGCAATGGACATAAGTAACCCAACAAGTAAAAGGTGAAAAAAAAAAATGTGAGTAACTATACTCCTCTAGAAATCAGAACATACAAGTTTAAATGACATACCACCTTCTGCCTTTACGACTAACAAACAAAGTTGAGTAATTCCAAGTATGGTAGGGATGTCAGTAAAGGACAGCACTCATGTCCTGCTGGAAGGGGATTTACTCATAAAATTAGGAATACAGATATGCTACAATTCAGCAATCTTACTCTTGAATATGTATGCTAAAGAAACCTTTCCACAGGTAATGTTCTCAACAGTACTGCTTATAGTATGGAGAAGTTGGGGGGCAACCTAAGTTTATGTCACTAGGCAAGTAGAAATAAAACAGGATAGATGCTTAGAGTAGAACATTAAATAACAATGATAAATAATGTGTAAAAAAGTAACATGAGTTTATCTTTAATAGTGTTGAGTAGAAGTTTTGCCTGTGATAATATTTGGAGTGGCATTCAACACACAGCTTTACATTCTGGATAAAATACAAAAGTCAACTACCAGACAGCACTGGAGAGAGACCAAAAACAGGCAAAACCAGAGGAAAAGTTCATACTTAAAGGAAGGAAATGGCATTAGATGAGTAACCCCCTTTTTCTTGGATTTTCACCTGAAGGCAGGCTTCAACTGGCACTTGGCTGGCTAGAACTCAAATAGAAATTGCCATCTTACTAGCCTGAAGAATCACAAGACAGATTTTGAGGCTGCGTAAGAGTTGGAAGTGAGGGGAAAAATCCCAGGAAGGAGACAGAGTGTGGAAACACCAAATTCCACACATAAACTCTGCCCAAACCTCTGACTGACTGCTGAATTATGCATGAACAGAACAGATGTCAAGCAGCCTAAAAGAACTAAAGAGATTTCAGTTGCTGCCACTACAAGGGTAACAAAGTTTAGGGTATGAGTTAACTGGCTGATAAAGGAAAAATGTATCAATCTTCAGGAAAATATAGGCAATCTCTACAATGTATTATTAATGACATGCAGGCTAAAAATTACAAAACTTACAAAGATCAGGAATTACCCATATTCAAAAGTAAAGAAATTAATAAAAACCCACTGTGCAATTACTCAGATGTTGAAATTTGTAGATTATTTTATTTTTTGAGATGTAGTTTCACTCTGCTGCCCAGACTGGAGTGCAGTGGCGCAATCTCGGCTCACCACAACCTCTGTCTCCCGGGTTCCAGCGATTCGCCTGCCCCAGTCTCCCAAGTAGCTGGGATTACAGGTGAGTCACCACGCCCAGCTAGTTTTTTGTATTTTTGGTAGAGATGGTATCTGGCCATGTTGGCCAGGCTGGTCTGGAACTCCTGACTGTAGGTGATCTTGGCCTCTCAAAGTGCTGGGATTACAGGTGTGAGCAACCATGTCTAGCCCTGCAGATAATTTTAAAGCAGATATTTAGGTAGGGTGTGGTGGCACGTGCCTGTAGTCCCAGCTACTTGGCAGGCTGAGGCATAAGAATCGCTTGAACCCAGGAGGCAGAGGTTGCGCCACTGCATGCCAGCCTGGGCAACAGCCAGATTCTGCTCCCCCCCCAGCAAAAAAGCAAGATTTTTAACAATGTTCACAAAAAGAAAAACATAATCCTCATGAATTGATGTACAAAAAAATCATATTCCAGAAAGAGAAACAAAAGGAAATTCCAGAACTGAAAAACGTTAATCTGAAATTTTAAAAAGAAAATCAC